CGTAATAGCTCCCAACAGAAATCAGTGAATCTAATTTCGAGGGTGGTCCCCTGCGTACCGACGATCACTACCGGATAGTTGGTCGATTTGATTATTGGAAATTTGGGTGGTCAAAACCCCTCATCAAAATTTGCGAGAATATCACATTCTCTAGTATCCAAAAAAAAAGAGATACCAATTTTCGGCCCTAAAATTACGCGTATAAACCAGTTAAGACATTCGCGACTCCAAATGCCTTACGGTATAAGTGTGTGTATTTATAAACAAGTCGTACTAGTATTGTAAAAGACTGCGAAAATATTGTAACCTGTAAATCTTGGTAAAATCGAGAGAGAGACATCTCAGTAAACATCTTCAACAATAATTTAAACTGTCTAAGAAAACAACGCATCGACTACAAGATTGTGAGTAAAATTAAATTTAAAACCATTGTAAATTTCAAATCTAGTACTTAGCAATAACTAGAAAAATCAATCAAATCAGACTGTCAGTAACTTGTAAAATTGCTGTAAAAATAGAATCTATTCGGAAAAATTTCAATTAAAGGGCAAAGATAATTCCAAAACCGCTTTAATTATTCCAAAGATCCCCGCAGAAAATTTATAACGAAATTGGGGGCCCTATATTCGAAGAAGAGAATAAGGTAAGAGTGAGGACAAAAAAAATCCTCATAAAAATTCGGGAAACCGCGATAAGAAACATTTTATCGCACGTTATTTTTATTGTTTACCAAGGAACTTACATTATCTACACAATAGCTCAATTTTTATAACTCAGGAATTACCGACGGAAAATCCTTCGGATATAACACCATCTTCAAATTGATTTTCATAAGCAAAATTTGACTAGCAGAACTCAATATTTTCTGTTTTTTTAAACAACACTTTTCATTAGAAAATTCTAAGAAAATTTGAATTCCTCCCCCTTTGAACGAAAAATTTTTATTCACAGCAAATTCCGATGAACCCAGGTAATCCTTTATCATGTCGTCTTCCTGCTGCTGTGGCCCTTGCTTCTGCGGCCTGTTCAGCTTCTCGCGCTGCACCTATTTCTTCGTTTCATCGGTTGACGATTTCTTGCAAGTGTCTCATTGGTCTCTCAGGTAGTACGTTGTTTGCTAATCCACCCACATCTCCCAAATTCTCATCTTGGTAATTATTTCCGTGCTGTCTTAGGAAGTTTCTCCGCGTACGTTCTATCTCAGCACTGACGGCGTCCCTTAATTCATGAGGTGAAATCATGTCTACGTCAGATAAACTATCGATCGAATTGAATGAATAATGTCTCCATAGATTCACTCACAAATCACCAAGTACATCAGCCATCCGCTGCTGTCTCACTCGTGGTATACTTTCCCAGACCAATCCTGATCTGTCAAATTCTGCCTTGCTCCGTAGGGCACTTCTTGCAATATTCCCGCAAGTTGCTCTCCGGTTCTTGGTACTATTGAATCAAGCAATTGTGATCTACGTAATGGAAAATTATCTCGACTCACGTGTCCAGCTCCCCTGCCAGAATTCATTAGCCTATGCCGCTTGAACAATGCCTACTTTTCTGCAAGTAGCTCGTACAACATTTACAAATATATTTGAACCATACCTACTTTTCTGCAAGTAGCTCGTTCAATATATATTCTTTCGAGTACGCTCACGCAGTACCTACTTCTCCAAATAGCCTAGGTATCCCTGAGTCATGTTACGGTAACCCACCTTCAACCTGCAATCTGCTGAGGTTCGAACGATCAGTCCATCGACCCCTCAACTATTTGCTGACGCGTGTTCCGTGACCAGTGCACCGTCGATCAGTCACACTCAAAAATGCAACGTCGTTCCCTATGTCGACTTGCTTCAAATACAGACGTCGCTCAGTACGTAGATTTGAGAATTTAATGCGAACGACACTCAGTACGTGGAGTTAAAAATTTAAATGCTTTGACCTTTGTATCCGAACACCGCTACCACCAAATGGTGTACCCAGCATGGGGGGTACTTATAATTATAGTAGGTTTTAGGCTCAAAGGGATAAATCCCACCAATCGTTTGTCGGCATTTAAATATAGGAGTTTATTAGATGATTATAATTACTATAACATCTGACTGATTACTAAGAGTTTACGACTTTTGTAGGCGTCGGAGTTCAATTCAGATCTGATCTGTGCAGACCCAACCGTCTCTTAAATAATACAATGATTGTTTACATTTCATCATTTGTTCAGCATAATCCAGTTACGCTAGCAAGTGTTACGTTGACAATTCTGTATATCCACATATTAAACAATAACGCAATTGACCAAATCTGGGGTATAACACTGTCATATGACACACAGTCATATGCTCGCTGTCCCCTATTTGTTTAATCTTTATCGGGAAACTTGCAGAAATTCTATTGAATTTCTATACTGTTTCGTAGTTATTGACCTCTTTGGTCATTTGCTGATTCGAGGTGAAGAAATTTATGATATTCAAATGATAAAAATTGATGAAGTGATTTGGATTACCTCCAATATTTTGAATTTTCCTGCTGTCAACCTATACGATAAGATTGGAACTTTATTCCCTAAATTGTAACTAGCCCATTAACTAGTGGAACCTACCATGATAGGTAGTGGGTTATTTATTTACTTTGTAATTTTTCTATTTACACTGAGTAACTTTCCATCGGACACCAACAAGTTTATATTTGTGCAATATCTCTAATGCATCTGTGATATGTGGGTCTAACATTGGCCTCCTTCTTGGGTTTTATTTAGGAAATTAGTTCAATTCAAAATTGATATTTTTGTTCGGTTAAACCTGTGATGTGTATTGAGTTGGTGTCTGGGGTAAGAAGCAATCTGTTGGGACTTACCTGTTAGGTAATATGGTGTACGATTCTTGCAGTTCAGTACATAATAGGTTTTTGTGACTGTTTATTATCTAGTTTGATTTGGTTTGTTTGTAGAAATAAATAGAATATGTCCCTGAAGAGGACCTCGCAAAAGGGGTTGAAATATTGGGCTTGATCCTCATGACTTGATCAATTCTTATCATTTGGACATCATAAATTTCATCACCTCGAATCAGCAAATAATCGCAGAGGCCAATTACTACGAAACAATTTTAACAATTCGGTCGAAAACTTCTCCACAACATTGGGTTTCTATTGAACTTTTACTGAAAATTCTGAGTTTAAGGCTGATTTTATTGCATAGTTTCGCACCTTCAATGCGCTTCTCTTCTATTGGAAATATCTAATAGCATCAATTTTACTAAATAAATGAATAAAATTTCTTCTTCTCTACAAAGCCTTCTACGGAAATATTTTCTGTAAAACTTCCTTTAACATGAACTTATGACGATCTTCGGATAAACAAATAAATTCAGAAAATTACTTCTAACCACCCGAAGTGTTTGTCACAAACTGCCCTGGGCTTAAGGCGTCCCAACGCTGGACTTACCTTCAGGCGCCAACCTATTTCCAAATATTTCTATTGGCGAAATAGACAAATTCCAATTTTATTTCAATTGACGACAAAATACTAGAAAACGAACTTCATTACCCGTACTCTCAATACACAAGGGGGAAGAGGATTGTTGCCTCCTAGCGGACAACCAGAATTCCAAGAAATAAAAATACAGGGTAGAATTCTATGTCTACAAGAAGTTGAATATATTTATAGACAAAAATACACAAAGAAAAATTAATGATATGGAAAAAACCGAAAAGAGAATATATAAATGAAAAATTGTGGAAATTGAACTGGACTACTTGCCTTCGCTTGTGCTCCCTCCGAGACTCAAAATTAATTAATTTGAATCTCTGTTTTTAAAATAAAAATATTTTTGGCTCTTGATAATTCAATGGTCACAAACTCCCTCAGTTTTTACTACGTTATATTTATTTTTTTATTAGAAAAAACAGATAACGCCATTTAGAAAATTTGAGCTGAGGAATTTTCTCTATTGAATAAGTAGTAAAAAAATCGATTTCTGTTGATTTTGCCTGTAGAAAATTTTTCATTGTACATTTTTACAGAAAAAAATACGTACAAATGAGCTCCAGAATTTTTCAATAGAATGGGGCAAAAACTAATAGAAAGTTCTGTAGAAATGAAATGAAATTTTGTCACACCCCTGCATGGAAAATTGATACTTTTCCCCCTCTCTACATATGAAAAAATCATATAGAAATTTTCTATACGGATTACGTATAGAATTTCTGTAGGATTTTCGTATATGATATTGGGATATTCGGAAAGTCTTAACTTTCCGCCCTGGATATACAATATACTATTCTTAGGAATTTACAAGGTTCTTCCACGAAGTTTTCCCGTACGTGTATTTGTCGAGTAATCAAGTTTTATATATTCCATTCTACCCCATTGATCATTCTACCTTACTTTTCATCAAGGAGCAGTTGATGGTTCGATAAGTAACATTTATCTCAAAATTCCCGCTTTGATCAATAAAAAAGACATGAAAAGTCATTGAAAAATGCTCATGGTACATCCGATATCACTAGCGGAAAGTTAAATCTTCCAGCTATGTAGAAATCTATTACAGACGAGAAACTTTCAGACATTATCCAACATTGCTTTGTCCTCGCGTTCCCTTCCATAATCAAGATAAGATTCATCTTATTCTGTATTTTTGAGATTCATCGTACCAATTCCCAGTTTTTTCCCCTCACACCATTAGTTGTCCTAAAACAATTTCTTGACTAAGGAAGAGGTTTTGTGATATTTGTTTTCAAATCTACTTATTTCCTATTTATGGCCCTCAATCGAAAATAATTTCAAATTGATTTGTATCTGCATCGGAAAAGTACATTCCCAATCCATCCATTGACTGAGCTTTTTTACACCGAGGATAACGACGTCGTGAACATGAACTTAGATGATGTTGTAAAAAATGAATCCTCTTCATATTCATATAAACACACTTGAATTTAATAAAATTTCCCTAAAGCGTCCTCAAAACTAATGGAATAACCCTCATGAATGTTTAGAAGGCAGCACGAGGATGAACGTCAGCGGTGAATCCGGTGGAACTATGGCCGTAGCTGATGAATACGACGATGCATGTAGCAGTGGTGAAGAAGATGCAGGTGCAACATTACCACCGTGGGAAGCAGCAGCTGCTTCTCTGACCCTGGGCTTTCTAATCCTAGCGACAGTCCTAGGAAATGCACTCGTGATACTCTCCGTATTCACCTATCGCCCACTTCGAATCGTTCAAAACTTTTTCATCGTCTCTTTGGCGGTTGCAGATTTAGCAGTAGCAATTCTTGTGATGCCCTTCAACGTTGCGTATCTCCTCTTAGGAAAATGGATCTTTGGCATACACTTCTGTAAGCTTTGGTTGACATGTGATGTTCTCTGTTGTACAGCAAGTATTCTGAATCTGTGTGCAATAGCATTGGATCGTTACTGGGCGATAACAGACCCAATAAATTACGCCCAGAAGCGCACACTCAAACGAGTACTAGGTACAATTGCTGGTGTTTGGGTCTTATCAGGAGCAATAAGTTCACCGCCATTAGCAGGATGGAACGATTGGCCAGAAGAGATAGAGCCTGGAACACCATGTCAACTGACACGTCGTCAAGGTTACGTTATATACTCATCACTGGGGTCTTTTTTCATACCACTATTACTGATGAGTCTCGTATACCTCGAGATCTTCTTAGCCACCCGAAGACGTCTCCGTGAGCGTGCAAGGCAGAGTAGACTTGGCGTTGTAACCTCGACACGACACAGGAATGAGGTGGATGATGCCGAAGAGTCTGTGAGTAGTGAAACTAATCATAATGAACGATCAACAATGCGTGTTCACGCTAAACCGTCACTAGTTGTCGTCGAGGATGATGCTGTTACTGAGGTCACTATCAGCGACCCCGTTAAGAAAAAAGAACACACCAGGCGACACGGAGTATCTGCTAGCAGCGACACTAATGGTGGTGGTACGTCTACAACAGTCTACCAATTCATAGAGGAACGACAGAGGATTTCGTTATCTAAGGAAAGGCGGGCCGCCCGAACTCTCGGAGTCATCATGGGCGTCTTCGTCGTGTGCTGGCTACCGTTCTTCCTCATGTACGTCATCGTACCGTTCTGCCCTGCATGCTGTCCCTCAGAGGGTGTTGTGTATTTCATTACTTGGCTGGGCTACATCAACAGTGCGTTGAATCCACTCATCTACACAATTTTCAATCTTGATTATAGGCGAGCTTTCAGGAGACTCCTTCATATTCATTGAAGATCTAATGCGAGGGTTAAATCCTCGATGAATAGGATATTACGCAACAAGTATGTAATGGGTTTTTTGGCTTGTGGGAAGTTGTAAAACGAGCCGAAGGCGAGTTTTACAATCCCACGAGTCAAAAAACACCATTACGCACGAGTTTCGTATACTATTTTATGTCATAGGGCCCAGAATCCGCGATTCTACCGAGCGAAGGGAGGTTAGAATTGCGTGATTCTACCGAGCGAAGGGAGGTTAGAATCGCGTGATTCTGGGCACCTATGACATAAAATAATGAAATCAACACTCACGAAATTCTTTAATGACGGCAGTTCATAACGTTTCCAAGCTTCTTGCACCATGTCAAGATTTAACACTTTGTTTCAAGAAATTGCTGCATTTTGCTATGTTATTATTCGTAATCATTAATTGATTCATTCATGTTAGTAATTGGAATCGCCGTGGGGAGGGCAGGAGGAACTATCATTGCTCGTCGAAGCGAAATGTTTTCAGCTGAAATAATGTCCGTATATCAAATTGAATGGATGCATAAACATAGTAGGTTAGAATAGAGCACTGTAGGAGAGGGATCATGTACAGGAAGAGGTTCGAGTTGAGAGTTGATACAAAATATAATTCGGGGATATTAATGCGGGGGTTTTTCGTATCATTGTAGAATGCTTTATGAATAGCGAAGTTCAAGTGATATGAGGAATAATCACAAAGGAAAAATCGTCATTGGTGAGTACAAGTTGCGAGGAAAAATTGAGTGACATATAAGAAGTCTTTCGTTCTATATGTACATTGGAGAATTATACAACCAACGGCGCTATGAAGGCGTTGATGAATAAGTAATTTTCTACAAAAATCGACCAACACTCCAATTTTTTTCTAGATCATAGTGGCCACAATGGTTAATAGAAATGGTTATAATTATGTACCTTATATCGCTGAATCTACATTCCAGGATGAATGCATACTCTCCCGTTTACGAGGTTGTTCAGTCATTGGTAATAACTTTGTCGTGAAATGGAGGTCCCTGAAAAATGTGAGTAATTTTTAGCCACCTTGCAGCGCAGATTTTAATAACTTTGTTATTTTCAATACTGATTTGAGAGATCCTAGCGAGATTGAAAATTCGAGAACCTAAATTGGTGAATCAGCAGCGGATGACATCCAAAAAAATCAATTTTATACAAATCCTATATTGCTCTGCCTATTGACAGACATTTTCATTTTTTCGTTTTATTGAATTTTTCCAACGATTCTCTTCGGTAGGTTTTATGAGATTTATTCCAAAAATTGTATTTAATGGGAATACGCAGTAACGTATCAGCTGAGGAAAATTTTTGATGACTGCTCTGCATCTCAAGCCGAGCGCTACTGGGTATCTATACACGAAGGAAGTCTCCCCTTCACTACCATCGAATCATATTGATTAAATAAAATGAAAATGGGACAAGCGATGTGAAAAACCTCTTCACTTCCACCGTATAAATCGGGTTGAACACACTACCATACAATCTCATCCGTGAAGGAGCGAGAAAGAATAGTATATTATGTCATTAGGCGATAAAAGTATTATCTGCCAAATGTGGTTTTATAATCCGAGCCGAAGGCGAGGATTATAATCACATTTGCCAGATAATGCTTTTATCGCCATGTGATATACGCTATTTTATGTCGTTGGGCACGAAAACCGCGGTTTATCGGGCCTAATGACATAAAGAGTATATGGGCCATTCCGCCAAATATCGGCGGAAATCTGGCCTCAAAATTTTCGATACTTTTTTTTTGCTTCTTTGTACTACTTGTGTATAGAAAAAAAGATTTCTCGACTAGGAAAGGTCCCGTCTTTTAATTGGAGGGGCTGCGCAAGGTTCAACGATTTTACGCGAAAATTGTTCAATCGAATTGAACGTTCGTAGAAATGCTTAGAAAAAAAAATCAAAACATAGTTTTTGATCGGAAATTTTCGGAATTTTCCGGAAATGATGTTCATTTTCTCCCCCCACCCCTCCTCCATCGTGAAAATCGAAAAAGAAACCTTTAAACGTCATTTTTGGCAAATTCGCCATTTTTTTTAAAATCTAATATTTTTTTTTGAAAAATTTAGAAAATTTCCGATCAAAATCATATTTGAAATTTATTCGCTTCTATAATGCTCAAGTAAAGAAAAATAACAGATAAAAAATGAATATTCGAAAAATGATGAATATCATAGAACCAAGATATAGGATATTTCATGGAAACATTCTCTATTTTCTATAATATCATCATCGTCTATGGAAATATCGTCTTCTTCCTACAATATTATTATCTTTCAAATATTCGCTTTTTTAGAATCATTTTTCTGTAGATGAGCATCATAGGAGCGAACAAGTTTCAAATATGATTTTGATCGGAAATTCTCTGAATTTTTGAGATAAAATATCAGATTTGAAAAAAAAAATGGCGAATTTGCCAAAAATGATGTTTAGATGTTTCTTTTTCGATTTTCACGGTGGAGGAGGGGTGAAGGGAGAAAATGAATATCATTTTCGGAAAATTCAGAAAATTTCCAATCAAAAACTATATTTTGATTTTTTTTTCTTAGCATCTTTTAATACGTTCTATAAGAGCGAAAAATTTCAAGTCTAAAACTCGTAATCATGCGGACGGCTTCTAATTGAGCCGCGGGAGCTTTACGCGTTGAAAAATCTTCCTTTATATACATAAGAATTCAGAAGAAGCAAAAAAAAAATTGTCGAAAATTTTGAGGCCAGATTTCCGCCGATATTTGGCGGAATGGCCCATATTCTTCGTTTTCTCTCCTCCCGGCACTCCACTTATTCACTCCACTTATTCACTCAGTCACCAGAACCATCTATTTATCATATACGTAAAATAAACCTGAACGAATAGTAGTGATGTGCATAGCAGAAAATAATCATTCTCTTATTTTGCAGAAATAGGGGAAATGTTTCTCAAATCGAAAATATATTTTCTTGTTAAAGAAACTGTGCCAAGGAACAATTGGATATGGTTGTTCTTGGAATTTAGGAAAAATAGTTTTCTGAGAAATAGAAGTTTTATAGAAATTTTCTAGAAAATAAAGAAATGCCCAGTTAGGGAATTTCGAATGCCTGTCAATAATGTGCGATCACATTGTGGAAAACAGGATAGCTCTACATTAAAGGATTTATGGAAGAATCATGGTGAAAAAAAAATTTGTGACAGCAGGACCAACGTCTTCGGCACGGAGTTTTTGAAATTACTATGTAATATCAATCTAATGGGCCATTTTCGAATTTGCGCCACAGGTTTATCGTGCCTTTACTGATTTTTTATTTCAGAAAGATTCTTTTTCAAATCCTACATTTTAAAGTTATTATCCTCACAGCAATCCAATTGCCGATTACAAATATGTTTAGAATCCCCTGGCTTTTTCTTCTTAATTTCTCCACTTTTTTCAGATTTTCTATGGAGGTTCTGTTTCTCTAAGAAATATTCGTCATTTCCACGGGCAACCAAATAAGACTTCTCCTCGGCAGTGTTTCTCCAAGGAATATTTGGAGAAATGAAAAAGTTTAAAAGAAATACCTAGCGAATGCGCTAGACAATTCTATTGCATTCCTGTTGAACTTTATATTAGTTTTTGGCCACTTCCATTAAAATGGTGAATAGAAAATATTCTACAAAAAAGTCAAAAGAATTCGATTTTTCTATACAACTTCTATTTATTTATTATTCTATGATCTTTCATTTTTTATCCCATTTATTTTATTCAGATATTTTCTATAGAATTGCCTCGACTCAAATTTTGCACGTTTTTTGCTTGATTTTCTTCATGAGAAGGAACAAAAAATAGAATTTAAAAAAATTAGAAAATTTGAGCGGAGGAAATTGTATGGAAAATATGTAATGAAAATAAGTCATATAGAAAAATCGAATTCTACGGACTTTATCTAATGAATATTTTGTATTGGACATTTCAATAGAAATCCAATAGAATTTTTTAACGAATTCACTAGGTTTTTCTGGTAAAATTTTTCGTGCGTGGAACTTTATGCTCCGAGCCGAAGGCATCGATTATAATCACATGAGTTAGATAATACTTTTATCACCGTGTGACATACAATATTTTATGTCATTGGGCCCGACAAACCGTGATTCCAACCTTGCTGCACTCGGTTCATCGTGGTTTATCGGGTCTAATGACAAAAACATTTCTACTTCTGAACACAAACCATTCTTCTCCCAATCATTTTTCTCCCAACTTCATCTAATTTCTTCTAAAACTTAAAATTGTTGAGAAAATGCTCTCGTACTCAAATATGAAAATAACAAATGCGTTTATAATCTGTGCCTTAGCAATATCTATGAATTACTGGGAATCAATCGAGTCCTTTAAAGGAATTGAATTTGAGAACAACATTTAAGCCAGAAAATAGATTAAAAGCTCTGCCGGGAACACTGTGAGCTCATTCTTTGGATCGCAAAAATTTTCACTTATTTCAGAATTCATATTTGCATTTGTCAAAAATATGCAGCTAAGAATTTCAGGGACTCCAAACATTTTGTAATACTGTTGAATAAGAAAAAACATAATTTTTCTTCATTGAGAGGAATGTGAAGAAAAGAAAGAAATGAAAATGAATGGTAAGAAAATTTTTACCCTCTGGGAGTGGAACCAAGTGAGCAAATAGATAAAAAACGGGAGAAAGAAAAAATCCGCGGTCGTTTTCGATCCTGGATATCTCTACCTAACAGATTGCATGTACAGTGCTATTCTACAATGAGTATGTCAAATGTATCGCGGATTTCATGGCATGTTGCAAAGACAAGTTCTGCGTATACCATTTTTCGACTGATAAATTGAAGCAGAACGAAAGAAGTGGAATAAATGCAAGTAGAAAAACTACCAAAGAAGAATATATTCCAATTTGAATGGAACAAATTTAACACAAATGGTAGGGCGCAACTACCTTCGTTATCAATTGCAAGTATTAAGGTTGTGAGTATCATTAATAAGG